CCGGCGTCGACGTTCCTCTCAAGCTTCATACCAAGCAGGTGCTGAGCATCCCCCAAGAACACCGTGTTGAACCGTTCCTTCAGCAGATCAACGACCATCATGACCTTCTCATCTTCCTTCCCCGACAGCAAGATGTCGTCAACGTACACGAGAGGGATATCTCCTTCCGCTTCGAGAATGTAGAGACAGGGGTCTGCTTTACTCTGTACGAACCCTTTCCTGATCAGGACGTCGTGGAAGGTGCTGCACCAGCCTTTCGGGGAGAGACGCAATCCTTAGAGCCATGCCTTTAGCCGCCACACCTGCCGTGCTTGTTCTGGAGAGCATTCGAAACCTTTCGGAGGACAAACATAAATCGGGTCTGCGTTAGCGGGGATCCTGGCATGTAGGAACGCTGTCTTGATGTCAGCCTGTTTTAGAACAAAGCCATTCTGAGCAGCGACGGCGACTACTAGATGTACCGCCTCCAATGTCGCCACTGATGATGCCTTGTCTTCCCCCGTGTCTTCTTGATGGAAGCCTTGGACCACGATACGACTCTTCAGTCGAGCTAGTTCTCCGTCTGCTGCGTACTTCCGTTTGTATAGGTATCTTGANGGCTCCAATGTCGCCATTGATGATGCCTTGCCTTCCCCCGTGTCTTCTTGATGGAAGCCTTGGACCACAATACGACTCTTCAGTCGAGCTAGTTCTCCGTCTGCTGCGTACTTCCGTTTGTATAGGTATCTTGACGGAAGTATATCACCGTCCGCCGGCCGTTTCACCCAATCGTATACGTCGAGTTCCGTGAGCGAACGATTTTCTTCGCGCATACTCTCCCTCCAGTGGTCAGCATCTGGTCCACGTGTTGCGTCGTCGTAGTTGGTCGGGTCGGGAGGCCTGTAACCTATTTCTCCAGGGTTGCCCGTCCCGACGTTTCCGAGTACACCCCCTGTCAGAAGAGCTTGTTCCACCTGCTGATAAGCATCCTCCTCCGAGGTCACCGTAAATAGTTTCAACCTTCGCGGTGGTGCAGATGCCCTGGCGCTCCGTCGTGGTTCTGGAACAGATGGTGTCGACTCTGCAGTACTTTGGTCTTCTTCTTCATCGCTATCGTCGTTAGTTTCTTCTTCGTTAGATTCTGCCATACCAGGCTCGAGTGGGGATTTGCCGCCCAGGACTTCACTTGGTGTGCGATTC